GGCATCCCCAGGGCTGGGCACCCCCCAGGACTGGCAGACCCCAGGGCTGGCACCCCAGGGCTGCATGCAGCGTGCAGGAACCACACAGGGTTTGCTCTTGAGGAGTAAACACTCATCTCTCTGTGGTCACAGAAAGGTTCTCTCTCTACCTGGCTAGCCCGTTTCGCGGCCACCAGCCTGAGCACTTGACAGGTGGCGAGTGGGCTGAGGGACTGGATTTCCATCTCACTCCATGCCATGGCGGCTGCGGAGTCACCCAGCGCAAGCCAGGCGAGGGGAAAGAGGGAGCGAGAACACGAGCGAGGGCCAGAAATACCAGGCAGAGGGCTCCAGTGTGCGTGGGCGCACTCTGGGTCTGTCGTGCCTCACCCGGCTTCCGGGGAGGACGGGAGGCAGGTGTGACAATCGCACACGGGCGGCGAGGAGGAGGCGGCCGCATCGAGACACGGGCGGGGCCCAGCAGACATTCGTGCAAAGCCCTGCGCCTAGACTGAGGGGGTGGGGCGGCGGGCCCGGTGGGCAGGCTGCCGGGGCAAGGAGGTGACCGGAGGGATCAGGAGAGGCGGCCGCTGCCGTCCTGAGCACGGTGAGAAGCTACTGGAAAGTCTGCTCAGGAGAGGGAGGCCATCCTATGTAGAGGCAGCTTTCGCTGTAGGGTGACAGAGGGTGGGGGGCGGGGGGGAGCCAGGAGGCCAGCAAGGCACAGTGGGTGCTGGCCGAGACCCCAGGGTGGCAGGAAGGTGACGAGGACACACTTGTAATGTTCTGAAGCAGAACATCAGCCCCCCCGCCCGCCCCGGCAGACTAGAACAGGAGGGGCGGGTGGAGGCAGGTCTGAGGTTCGCCCCTGGAGCTGGAGGAGGAGGGCGAGGGAGGGGAAGCCCGGGCTCCCGCCCGTGCGCTGTGCCCGGCTCGTCTGCGCGGCATCGGCAGGGCCTGGCATCCAGGAGCCGACAACCCAAAAATCACCTTCCCAGAATGGATGCCGCGTGGAAACGCAAAGCTCAATGGCAAAAGGCAGCCTGTCCCTGGAGACCTGGGGCCATTTCCCCAACGGGGTGTCTGGGGGCCCACGGAGCTAAGACTCTTCCCCAAACCCGCTGCATCTCCAAGTGTGGTCCCCGAGCTACGGGGCAGCCTCCAGCCCAGCGCCCGGCTCCGGGGCCTCGGGACGGCCCCTGCTGGGCTCGGGATGCAGCCCCCCCCCCCGGGGCCCAGGTCGGCCGTGACCCCTCGTGTTCTCTGTGCGTAGCTGCTCTTTGCCTCCCAGCGTGAGCTCCATGAGGGCAGCGGTGTATCTGAGCGGTCCGAGTGGATGCCCAGCTCCGGGCCGAGCTCCGGGGCCGTGCAGGCACTCAAGAAGTAGCTGAGTGAGTGAACAAAGGAAAGTGAAAAGGAGGCGCGGGCGCTGATGCCCGCGCTGGCTGCTCGAGTCTGGACAAGTCTCTTTCCTCGATGGGCGAGTTTCACAGACCTCCGGCGCGCCGTGGGATGATTAGCATCCAGGCGTGAGTGCGTGTCCCACGCGGTGTGTGTGTGTAATGTGTTACACGATTGGGCACGGCTCCCAGCCCACAGTGTGCACCTCAGTACACGGAGGCTATTAGGATAATGTCTGTGATTATTAAAGGACCCAGATTCTAACGCCATCAGCCCGGCTCCGTCGGCGCCATAAACCCACACGTCTCTGTCTCGCTCGCCTCTCCTTGGCCAGGGCCCCTGGGGCCCACAGGCCATCGTAGGCCGTTTCCCGGTGCCCCCACACATCCTCCCGGCCCCCACTGGACAGCCCAGACCCGGAGAATGAAAGGCAGGAGAGCGAGCGCCCGAGAGAGATGCCAGCACTGCAGAATGGCTTCATCTGCAGGCCTCCTGGCGGGCCCCTCCTCCGCCCCTTCCACCTCGAGGAAGAGAGCAGGGCGCTTCACAAACAGTCCGAAAGAAAAAAATTCTAATGGTGGATAAATATTTTATCACCGAGACTTAATGCAGCAGTGTTCAACTCACCCGAGCCATCTATCTGGAGATATACAACTTTAAAAAGCTCAGGCGCTGGGAGAACATTTTATTAATGACCTGTCTAGTTAAGAGGAGGAGGGAGTTTAGGTTCAAAAATGCATTAATACCAGCCGGGGACTCGAATGGGAGAAAGGGGTCACAGGAAGGAAGGGTGATAAATGTTTAACACGCCCTTAAAAAAATCCACACTTGGCGGAAGAACAAATTTATTACCAATTATGCAATTATTTCATTTGGTGATGTGGGCGAAGAAAAAAATACTTAAAAGCCTTTTAAAAATATCTCTAATAAAGAATGTAAGATTGCGCTCCGTTGTCCTTCCGCCAGGGCACCAGGCGGGGCGGCTGGAAGCCACCTCCCACCTGGTGGGTGCAGCCCGGCTCCCCCCGGGGTGGGGGTCCCAGCCGCAGGGCCCCAGGCCCCGGTGCGGCTGCTCAGGCAGGGGCTGGTCTGGGGGGGAGGCCCAGGTGGCAGCCCCTGGGGGCCTTCCGGAAGCCCACTCGCTGCCCACGACAGGCACCTCCACCCTGCCAAGGCCCCTCCGGGGGGGGCAAAGGGGGGCCCTGCTCTGAGGACAGTGGTCTGGCGGACAAGGTCTGAGCACAGGGAGGGGTGCTCAGGGGCCCCTAGGAGATGCGTGGCAGGTGGGCTGGGGAGCGAGGCGTGGCGGCCGCGAGGGTGGTGGCGGGACAGCGAAGGGGGCGGGGGTGCGGGCGGGGGTGCGGGCCAGGGCGTGGGCACTGAGCTCCTGTTCGCGGCGAGGCCAGGCCGCCCCGAGCGGTGAGGACCCCGGACCTTGCCCTGCTCACGGAGCCCGGAGCTCCGGCTCCAACCTCCGGATGGGGAAACCGAGGCGCAGGGCGGGGACGCGGCACAGTGAGTGCGAGAGCGTGGAGACCTGAGCAGTGGCGAGGCTGGTCTTTACCGCCCTGGGCCTTAGTTTACCCGGCCCTGAAGCTCATCATGACGAGGGCCCCCACAGATGAGACTGGGAAGATTAAAAAGGGCTCATAAGACTTTCCTCCTTATTGTTCCACTAATGTGAAATAATTTAGCTATCACCACAAATGTGGAAGTATTTTTGTGATATGGAGAAATTTTTATTATCATTAAAATGGATTTACCTTGTGTAATAGCTAAATACTATGAAATAAAGTGACACTGGAGCTCGGCACACTCGGGCCCCCACCGCAGTCCAGCAGGCGGGGCATCTGCCCAGGCCACAGCCCTTGCGCTGAGCAGCAGGAGTCACCCCCTTCGCACACAGGGGGCCCCCCCACCTCCGGAGCCCTCTCCCCGTGTGACCTGTGTGACGCCATCTGCCTCGGCACGACCACAGACAAGCCTGCCCACTCAACTTCGGCAACTGTAGGGGGGACCAGTGAGATCCTGGGGGCCCAGGGGCCAGCCCGGCCGGGGACACAGCGGGCAGCTTCCCAGACTCAAGGCCGGGCCTGACCCGCCAGAGGAAGCAGGCTCAGGGTGACCCGGGGACCAGGCCTCTGGGGCGAGACAGGCCCCGCACTCACGATGCACAGACCGGGGCGCGGCCCTGAGCCCCGCGCATGAGCCAGGGCGCCGGCTTCCGGCCCCGCCACCGCCGCCCGCCCAGCGTGTGACAGGAGCCCAGCGGAGCCGCCCGGGCCAGGCACCCGCCAATCTGCGTGTCCGCTGGGTCAAGCTCGAAGACCAGCCCGGGCAGGGGCAGGCCCCGACAGAGGGCCGCCCTGGCGCCCCGCGCTGGCTCTGGGGAGCTAGTGGCAGAGGGCGGGCCCGGAGCCGACTCCACAGAGGCCTCGGGCAGATGCAGGGTATGGGCAGGGTTGAGGGGGCCCTGTCTCAGTCATCACCGCCCCCCACACACAGCCACGCAGGAGGCTCGGCCCCAGGGGTCACCACCCCGGCCCTGCACCCTCCCCGTGTCCAAAGTGGACAAGCTAAGAGGGAGCTTGGCTTTTCTTGTACAGCTCTGAGGAAGGAGGCCCGGTCCGGCCTCCTGTCCTTCCCGTCACCTCACTCTGAAGGAGATTTGAGGCAGAACCGGGTTTCTGGGTCGTCTGAGGAGGGGCAGGTGGAGACAGGCCTGGGGTCTCCCCGGCATGGCTTTGAGCAGCCGCCGACCTGGAAGGGCCCCGCGCCAGCCCCCAGGTACCCCGCGCCGACCTCACCATGCTGCCCAGGCACCACGGGGCTAAGGAGGTGGGCTGCCGGCCTGCCCGCATGCCCACCAGAGCCCGCCCTCCGCCCCCAGGCGGCCAGCAGGGCCGCCCCAGCAGCCTCACCTGGCAGGAGGAAGGTGGTCCTGGTGGCGATGTTGATCTCCTGCAGATGCTCCAGCGTCTCGGTGTGGAAGAGGCGGATGGAGGAGCCGGAGGAGAAGGCCATCCAGACGCCGCTGCCCGCCTTCACCATGTGCGTCACGCTCACGGCCTCATCCTGGTGCGCCTCGAAGCTTTGCTGCGGCGGAGGGGAGGGGCATGTGGGTGCTGAGGACCCAGGGCCGGAAGGGGGTCCGGCCCGGCAGTGGGGTCCATCAGAGGGCCCGGTTTGTCGTGTCTGCAGACCCCCACCCCACGGAGCGCAGGTCCCCAGCCCACGAGGAGCACGGGGTGTCAGGGGCGCCGGGCCAGGCTCCTCCTCCGCCACACAGGCCCAGAGTGGACGGAGCAAGTGACGGTGCGTGTGTTCATCTGCCGTCACGACGCCCGGACCAGCACAAGGCTGGTGGGGTTGGGGACGTGAGTGGGGAGGGGCAGGGACGCGCAGGACTCGAGAGATGGAGAAACAGCCAAGCTGGAGAGTCGGGGCAAAGCAGAACACGCCAGGCAGGTTAAAACCAGAGCAGGTAAAGGCGCTCTCCCAGGAAGCAGGAGGCCTCTCAGGGAAACCATTCCAGGCTGCGTGGCTTGTATTTTTACAGGTGTATGTCTAATTCTGATCTTGAGAGAAAACAGCTTTTTGCAGAGCGGGGACGAGAACCAGAGTTCCCATCACCACTCCTGGGGAAATCCCAAGTTCCAGGCCCCGGCTGGCCCTCACCCCCTCCTTTCCCATCAGGGCCCACCCCGGGGCTCCCTCCACCCGCGCCGTGACCTGGTGCAGCGGGCAGCCCTGTCCTGGCACCCGGAGACTGGGGGACGGCCCTCTCCCAGTGGCACCTAGGAAGCCCCCGTCCACCGTCCAGCCCAGAGACGCCCGCTCCCTGCCCCCGTACTGGACTGTGAGCTCCACGGACAGCACCGAGCCTTAGGCCTGTCCACGTGACGCACTTGGAACAGGACCCAGCACACAGTAGAATCAGGTCAAAGAACAAGTGGACAGACACGGGGGTTCTGTCCACGCTATGCAGCCAGCACCCAGGCTGGAACAAGCTGGGCGGCGGGCAGGGCTGGGCGTCCACTCGGGGGGCCACGCTGCACAGTCACGTTTGCAGAGACGGTGTGATGAGCACAGGAAAATGGACAACGGCAATGTTACGGGAGTGAGTGCAGGAGCAAAATAAAAAGGTCCCTTCTGAAATGGGGGTGGACAAAGGCCTGCTGCACACGGAGGATTATTCCAGGGGCAGCGGCTGCTGACTTGGCTCTTTCTGGGTTTCTGTTTTCTCCATTTTTTTTTTTCTACAAAAAAGCAAGTCTTGGGTGGGAGCCCAGGAACACAGGAGATGCTGGACAGAGACGTTTATTTGGAACAAGATGTGCTATTGTCTTACGTCCTCAATAGCCTCACGGGCCTGGCCTCGGTTTCCCCACTTGTGGGGAGCTCGCAGTGAGGATTCTAGGGACCTGAGTCAGGAGAGCCCGGCGCAGGCCTGATCCCCCAGTTCGGGCTCATTCGCCCGACAGGTGTTCCTGAGCACCTAAGCGCACGGCACGGCCCGGGAGCTGGGAGCGGGGCCCTGACGAGAGACAGGGCCTGAGCGCGTGGCCCGTGCCACAGGCCACGGGCGGAGTCTGCGGCTCAGACAGCGATGGCCACCAGCAGGACCCCTGGGGCCACGCGGGCTGGGTGTTCTGAGAGGCCTCTCAGAGGGGCATGGAATGTGGAGGTCAGCCCCGGGGTGACAGCGGGCGAGGGGCACCCAGTTCTGGAGACGCTGGGGCAGGACAGCGGCTGGTGACGCTCAGAACAGAACGATGGTCGGTGGGGGGCACGGAGGTAAGGCGGGCGAGGGGTCACGCCCTCGAGGCCCACGCGCGGCGTTCAGCCCCCACTAAGTGCTGGAGGCGGCACCTGTGTGACCGCTGTCTCCAGCCAGCAGCAGGAGGCCCTGACTCCACCCTGGCCCAAGAGGTCTCCCAGCTGATAACGCTGGGGGAGGGGGCGGGGGTGCCCCTGCGGGGAGGGGCCAAGCATGAACTTGGTGCTTGTTTGCGAGCAGAACGCTGGCTAGGCCCAGGCGGGCGAGGTGGGAGCTGGCCACCGGAAGTCCCTCTCCTGAGTCAGTCCCTGACGGCTGAGTTCTGAGGCACAAGGGTGGTGGCCAACAGGCCAGGGGACAGCAAAGCCGGGGTCCCCAAGGTGGGGCAGGGGGAGGCAGAACAAGGCCCTGCTCTCAGGATCTACCTAGCAGCTCACCTCTTACTGGGGGACCCCAGACTGCAGCAGAAGCTCCCCCTGAGACAGGAGGGGAGGGGCCGCTCTAAGTGGGGGCTCCCCAGGAGCAAGGAGGAGGAAGACCACGCCAGGCGGGGCATTCTCAGAGGGCAGGGGGCTATCGTCTCCCCCAGATCAGGGGCCCTAAAGCTCAAGAGAAGGCAGAGGGGTCCTCCCCCCACTTCCTCCTTCCTCAGCACCCTTCTCCCACCCCCCTAACAGCCCAGGAGTTAGAGGTTCAGCCAGTGAAGCCCTGGGATTGGGGGGAAGCCCAGGCCCTCATGGCCTGTAGAAAATCCGGCCCCTCTCTGCAGAGGCAGAGACGCTATTTCCAACTCTCTGGCCCGTCACCCCCAAATCAGGTGCCCACAGCCCTGGCCTGGGACGCTGGCTTACAAGTCTCATTTTGTGAAGGGAGCACCCTTCCCTGTGGGGCCAGAGGGTACCTCCCGAAGCAGCCTGCACGGCGGCACTTCCCTGGGGGCCAGAGTCAGGCCGGACCCGCGTTCCAGTAGGCCGCCGCCCCAGGGCCTGCGGGGAAGGTCAGTGCAGCCGCCGCGGGCTCCAGCACGCCGGCGTCCCCGAGCAGACGGAGCAGGGCCGGGACAGCCTGCCCTGTCTGCACACCTCTCCAGAAACCGCCACGCACACTCACTGGCACACAAATGCACAGGCAGGCACCGCCTCGCCGACGCCTGCGGAAGGCCAGAGCACGTCCTGCACCCCGGAACCAAACGGCGCCAGGGCCCAGAGGCCCGGGCCCGGGGAGGCCGCGCCTGACTGCAGCAGGCAGCCCGCACGCAGCTGTCAGCGCCTCGCTAGAGAGAAGCAGCCACGGAGATCCAGGCTCACTGCTCCGGGGGCCCCGCAAGTCTGCCTCCCAGCCCAGACGGCTTTGCACAAAGCCTGTGCCAGCCTGCCACGCCCAGGGGTGAGGAGGGCGGAGAGCAGGCGGCAAGAAATGTGAGCACGGCCTGGCAGCTCCGGCCCTCACCCCCCCGTGTCCCTCCCCACGCGGAGCCGCCTCGTGGGAGCACGGGCCAGGCACGCAGGCCGGGCCTGCTGGACACGAAGGGCAGGTGGGGGCCACCCAGCACCGAGGGCCCAGACGGTTCGAGGCAGGGGGAGTTGAGTCCAGCACCCTTGGGTGGGGGAATTTTCCAGATGCGGGAGCCCAGAAGTAATTGTTAGGAGCCATTCATTCTCCCACCCGAGCCGGGTGAAACACTGCCCACAGGGCACCCCAATCCTAGACTAGGGCCTCTTACCCCCCTGCGAGCCCAAGCGCGTGCTGTGAGCACCTGAACCTGCTGCCAGGCGAGCTCCTCTGGGCTTGCTCCTGCCCGGCGGGACCAGGCAGCTCCCTGCCCATCACGCTGCCGAGTTCTGGGGCTGTTTCTGTAAGTAGCCCCTTTCTGCAGGTGGGGAGACTGAGGCAATGAGGCAGAGGCCAAAGTGCGCCAGCCCAGCTCCCCAGCCCACAAGGCCCGGACCGGCTCAGAGGGCGTGGGCACTAGGAGGGGCCCTCACCAGCCCGCTGCCAGCCTCAGGAGACCGACGTGCAAGCACAGCGCACTGAGCGTGACACTGGCTGCACCCCGTCACCATGCCTGGGTGACGTCACCCCGCCTGCGCGACCTCACCCTGCTTGGGAGACGTCACCCAGCCTGCGCTTGCTCTGGAGTCCGGGGGCCTCCAGCCTCCAGCCTGGGGCCCGGCATTCGTGGGTCCAGGACCGCCCTCTGCTCTGTGCCGGGGGATGGGGTCGCTGCTCCCCAGTGTGTTCCCCTCCCCCGCCCCATAGTGGGGCTCAGTGAGGAGAGAGCCACAGAAGGGGGGCTTGGAGGAGCGGAAGGGAGGACGACTGACAGCCGGAGACGCCACGGGCTCGGCGCCGAGCCGCCCGCCTGTCTCAGGGTGCTTCCCCAGCTCGCCTCGGGTGCCCCGGCTGTTCTCGTCACAATGCCCCCTCTTGTCTGCGGTCTCCACGGCTCCCTGTTCTCCTCCACAGCTCCCAGAACCTGTTCCCTGAGCCAACAGCTTCAAAGTCCTATTTGCTGGTTTTAAGCCATGAACTTCTTCTATCCACCTAAATACCGGACACAGAAAAGGTCTGGGCTCTCTCAGGGAGGACCGAGGTGGCCACCCCCGCCGGCCAGGGGTCCCGGGAGACACCCCCACACGCCCCACACCAGAGCCCAGCAGGCTCCCCTGGGCCCCCACCTGCATGCTAAGGGCCCCCGCCCCTGCCCTGGGAAGGACCTGGGGAGACCCCAAGACCGCCCCTGAAAGGGGCCTTCACAAGCTTCCTGAAAGGAAGTTCTTCTGAACAGCTAGTCTCCATCCCTCCTGCTGCTGCTGGAAAACGCTCACCCTCCCCTTGCAACTCCTTGCTGCCACGATCTTTAGGAAGTTCATTTCACCTGCCAACTTTTAATTGAAAAAAAAAAAAAAAAGCAACACAGGACGACAGCAACAACAATCTCGCACACAGGCAAATGAAGACGAGCCGGTGAACAGCGAGGACCCCGTGGGTGACGTGACCCCGCGTGCTGGCGGGGGGACGCGGAGTTCCGCGGGGGGCTCCCTGGCACCGACTCGGGATCCTTCCCCCGCACGCCAGTTTGCATACGATTACCCAGGAAGCCCTGCGCCTGGATTTTGCTTTTGCAAATTCCCACCCGTTTCGTGTCATAAATAAGATAGGAGACAGAAAACTAATACAGCCCAGCGATGCATTATTCATGCCGCGTCACACTGTTATGATAGATTTACAACAGCTAATACATTCAAACTAAGTTTGGGCACTAAATGTGAAAGTTAAGGGTGGGGAAGGTGGGTGGGGGCAATCTGGAGGGGGC